TTTTGTTTTAATTTAATATATTATATGAAAATTTTATAATTTGTTTTAGATATTCACCAATGAGTGCTACTTAATGGAATGAATTATATCATTTAAATTGATCAGAAATTTGGATATTTTTGTTACTATCCATGCTCAAAACTTCAACTATTAAGTTATGTATGTTCTTTTCTTTTTCTTATTTGTTGATAGCCAAATTAAAAAATTTTATTTGAGTTTTGAAGCTTAACATCGATAATCCATCACTTTTATTTTTTGTACTCTTCTTCATTTTTTATTTTTTTTTGTGTGAAATTTGATATTTTTTGTCTGAAATGATTAATCTATTAGGTAGAAAATAGATTTTCTTGTTAGTGTATAAATTTTATAAAATAAATTTAAGGGCCTCTTAATATAATTTGCCTTAGGCCACAAGATCTGTTGAGCCGCCCCTGGGTATTATTATATTCTCTGAATATTGACTTATTGCACCTTGTATATGAGAAGAAAACTGAAAATACCCCAAAATCCTTTACTTTCTTGAATTATTTCTTTGGTATGACCAAAGATATAAAAAGTCATTCTCAAGAAATATAAAGTCTATGATGTTCAATGATCCTATAGATACATATATCAATGTGTTTGTTTATTTAACTAACAAAACAAAATTAAGTATAAATTTGTACACATCTCAATATTAAAACATTACATTTTTATTTTGAAGTTTCTCTTTCTTTCAAGATTCAGCTTTAAAAGAAAATATAAATTACTGCTTCATTTCATTTATATAGATTATTATTATATATAATTCAAGTATTTCTAAATGATTAAATTTTTTAAAATTAAAGAAAAATAAAAGAAAATAAAAAACAATAATGCATAGCTTTTTTTTGGTTAAAAGAGGAGATATTATATCATAATATTATGCATAGCTTAAAGCTTAAGAAACAATGTGTTCAAAAATTCAAGACCAATTTTTTTTAATAGTCTTGATATTCGAGAATTAAGAGAATATTAAGAAAATTCAATAAGATTTTCATAATCGCGCGAAGCGCGAACTAATTCATTAGTAAATGTATAAAATTAGAGTATGAAATAAAGGAAAAATCATACAATCAAGCAAATAGAAATAGGCAAACTAAGATTAATTAGATCCTGATATGTTTTAAACCAACTTGTATGTGTTTTCGATCATGAATGTAAATTAAAAATGTAAGTTATTTGTCTATTAGGTAAGTTGAATGATGTATGTATTCCTATGACGGTAAAACTGAAGACCTACAAATTGGACAAGATCTCTTCCCCTTCAGTAACCATTCCTTTATACAGCTTGAGTGATATTCATGTTGACATTCAAGAGTTCCAATTGTCTCATCATTCTCATATTCACATTGGCAAATAACACATATTATTTCTTCTCCATCGTCACTACCACCACAATGAATTCTTGTTTTCATCATATTTCCTATAATCTCCTCTGTAACCTCCTCCTCGTCTTCGTAATCGTCGCTTTCCACAACATCTCCGAATAAGTCTCTCAGATAATCTATGTCATTGGAATCATAATCGGATTCACTTTCATCAACCAGTCCCCTTGTTGGCTGATAATAATTATAACAAAAATAATCATAATAATAATAATAATAATAATAACACTCCATGTGATAATTCATCATTGTAGCATAGAAATCGCTCAAGTATGGATCGTAGTAATTTGGCGGAGGTTGATAATAATAGGGAGGATAATCTGGTGTGAATTGCCAAAAATTATGCAAATTCGAATTCATGATCGATAACACTAAAAAGAGGAAGAAACTATGTATGTGCTTCTAAATTCACAGAAGAAGTAATTAATTAGTAATACTATACTAATGAATAAAAGTGAGTTTTAAGTTTTGTAGAGAGCAAATAGTAAGCAGCAATATGAATTTATAGATTGTGAAAGAGGGTTAAGCAACTACCGTTCCTTAACCGGACAGAAATAGGAATATAATATCGAACCGTGTTCAGGTAATCCTTTACTTACTAGGACTAGGAATAATAATAGTAATAATTATTATAATATTATATTTTTTACAAACTTTGTTTGGATGGTTGTTATGTTTTATTGTTTCATAATATATCGTATTGTGTTGTATTGTGTCACACTATACTATTTTAATGAATATACAATGTTTGGATATATTGTATCGTTACATTATGTTCACACATTCATAATTTGAAATTGATAAACCTACGAGGAAAGTAGGGTGTGTGGTAGAGCTACAATGAAAAGTTAGAGTAAAAGATGAAATATAATTATTAAGTAATAAATAAAGGCGGAATGAGAAGAAAATATCAAGGTAACAACTCCATTATACCAAATCGATTGTTACATAAAATAGATTTTTTCGTCGTTGCTTAACGATGAATTTAAACTATACAATACACTATAACAATAAATAAAAACATTATATTTAAAATTAAACTCTTTTTGTGAATATCTTTTGATTAAACTCGTTATAGTGATAACATTGTCTAAAATTTTATGATTGTTATTAATGATGTACTGTTGTTATATAGAGAAAATGATCAAAATAGTCCTTCATGTATATGGTTTGAATTATTTTGGTCCTTTATCTATACCATCTTATCTAAATAGTCCTTAATGTATACATAAAAGGTATCATTTTGGTCCTAGCCCTAAAAACTAACTGAAAACATAAAAAAAAACTGTTAAGTTTAACTGTGAGTCCCACACTCTTCTTCCTCCCTCTTTCTTCGTCATTGCTTCTCCTTCACGTTCTTTTTTTTTTTTGGCCATTTCTTCTACGATTTCTGCTCCCAAAATCCTCTCATATTCGGCAATAAAAGCGATAATTTGTGATTGATTGTAATTAGCTTCCTTGAAAAGTTGTCAAGATCCCCTTTTGATCTTTGATTTTCAGCCCATGATCAGATGAGAATTCTGTCAGTGCAATTAGATCCGGAAGGTCATTTTTCGTCTAGTAGGATTATTGGTTTGGGTTTCGAGGCTTTCGTTTTAAGTTTGTGCAATTAGGCGTTTTAACTTGGAAATTTAGTCAAAGTTTGACTTCACTCAATATTCTTGGTAAAAAGTGATCGGATGAGAATTCCGTCAGTGTGGTTAGATCCGAAAGGTCATTTTTGGTCTAGTAGGATGACTGGTTCGGGTTTCAAGGCTTTCATTTTGAGTTTGTGCAATTAGGCGTTTTAACTTAGAAATTTAGTCAAAGTTCGACTTTAGTCAATATTCTTGGTAAAACATGATCGGATGAGAATTCCATCAACACGGTTAGATCCAGAAGGTCATTTTTGATCTAGTAGGATGGTTAGTTTGGGTTTCGAGGCTTCCATTTTGAGTATGTGCAATTAGGAGTTTTAACTTGAAAATTTAGTCAAAGTTCGACTTCAGTAAATATTCTTGGTAAAAAGTGATCGGATGAGAATTCCGTCAGCGCGGTTAGATCCGAAAGGTCATTTTTGATCTAGTAGGATAACTGGTTTGGGTTTCGAGGCTTTCGTTTTGAGTTTGTGCAATTAGGCGTTTTAACTTGGAAATTTAGTCAAAATTTGACTTTAGTCAATATTCTTGGTAAAACGTGATCGAATGAGAATTCCGTCAGCGTGGTTAGATCCGAAAGGTAATTTTTTGTCTAGTAGGATGGTTGGTTTAGGTTTCGAGGCTTCCATTTTGAGTTTGTGAAATTAGGTGTTTTAACTTGAAAATTTAGTCAAAGTTCGACTTCAGTCAATATTCTTAGTAAAAAGTGATCGGATGAGTATTCCGTCAGCGCGGTTAGATCCGAAAGGTCATTTTTGGTCTAGTAGGATGTCTGGTTTGGGTTTCGAGGCTTTCGTTTTGAGTTTATGCAATTAGGCATTTTAACTTGGAAATTTAGTCAAAGTTTGACTTTAGTCAACATTCTTGGTAAAACGTGATCGGATGAGAATTTCGTCAGTATGGTTAGATTAGAAAGGTCATTTTTGTTCTATTAGGATGGTTGGTTTGGGTTTCGAGGCTTCCATTTTGAGTTTGTGCAATTAGGTGTTTTAACTTGGAAATTTAGTCAAAGTACGACTTTAGTCAATATTCTTGATAAAAATTCATCGGATGAGAATTACGTCAGCGTGGTTAGATCCGGAAGGTCATTTTTAGTCTAGTAGGATGGCTGGTTAGGGTTTTGAGGCTTTCGTTTTGAGTTTGTGCAATTAGGCGTTTTAACTTGGAAATTTAGTCAAAGTTTGACTTTAGTCAATATTCTTTGTAAAATGTGATTGGATGAGAATTCCGTTAGCGCAGTTAGATCCAAAAGGTTATTTTTGGTCTAGTAGGACGGCTGGTTCGGGTTTCGAGATTTTCATTTTGAGTTTGTGCGATTAGGCGTTTTAACTTGGAAATTTAGTCCAAATGGTTTTCCAACTGTTCTCAAATCTGCCAAGCCTATTTGTGTCATTAGTTGCTCAAAGTCTAACTTCATAATCCATAACATGATTACCATTCAATTATTCTTCACTCCTTAGAATTGCATTAATCTTCCATTACTAACCAAAGGACGGATGGATTTATTACCTCCAATGTTGACCATTTCAATTGTGTATGGTAGATAGATAGATGTGACCCTTCATCACTTCTAATTAAATACAATCAGATACATTATGAGGAATAAATAGCTATTGTATATAGATAGTTGTAACCTTTATGAGAATCACTTTATTTCCATTCTTTACTTGACAGTGCATTAGTTGCTCTTTAAAATATTAATCTGTCACTTTCACCAACTATCAATCCAAAGGATCTAAATCCCTGTCTTTGTCACAATTACTATAGTTTGCCTGCCACATCCAACCTGCTAGTGCTTTCTTAATGATGTGATATTCTTTATTTTAGAGCACCTCAACTATGTGACTATACAAATTAAGCTAAAGGAGAAAGCATTCATGAGGAAAGAATTCACTCACACATAATTAATTATTAAAATATTAGACACATCTTCATTTAAAGTGAATGAAACTTACATAATTCATTGTTGAATTACAAAAGCTGGCACATACAATAAAGACATACAATTATATTTTTTTTTCAAAAAAAGTCTCCCATTTTTGTAAAATTATCCTTCCATGACAAACACCAAGCTTCAAAAGTTGAATATCATCCCCAACAACATATAATCAGTTGACAAAATAACATCTGAGTACTTTGTATTTCTGACTGGATCTTTGTGATTACTCCAACTGCTGAATAGTCTGCGAGAAAAGAATAGTTCAATACAGTCTCGGAGAAGAAAGAATTAAAAACACCTTGGAGAAGATGATGAACTTACTTTGGGTCAGCATTTTGAGCAATCTGAAGAGCATCTGAGCTGGCTACTTACAAAACATTAATGTTGAACCTAATCATGCATTTGTTATACAAAAATAACCTACTTTAATCCCACAACATTCACTTATATGTACATTTGTGACATTGTACTAGGTAACAAAAAAATCCATTATGGTTAGACCTTACAAAATAGTTACACAAAAATCATTCAGTGATTTAAATCTTATCATTAATAATCATCCATATCATCCATATCATACTGTGACGTAAGTTCACTGATGCTTAAGAAAAATTCCATCCTCTTTATATCTTAAGTAATTTCCATTGCTGCCTTGACTTGTTTATCTGAGTTGTATATTTCAAATGCAGGGGATCCAATAATAGAAAATATCTTGCCACAAATATCAGATAGATCACGCTCTCCTAGCTTGTCAATTAAAGAATCCATCCTCTTATCATGGCTTTCAGTGAATTGTTTCATCACCTCCATCAAACCTTTAATAACAATCTCATTATCATCTTCAGTTGTTTTTTTTTTTTTTGCATCTACCTTTTTTGTTGACTTTAGAAGACAATGCTTTAAAACTATTCTGAGATTGATGGGTTTCACCTTTTTGAATTGTGAATGCACTTTGTGCTGCTCCAGTTGATTCATTAGGTTCATCTTGAGCAGTAAATGGACTTTGTGTTGCTCCAGTTGATACATTAGGTTCCTCTTAAGCAACTTGATCTCTTGTGCTTGAAACATCATCTACGTCGACAACATCAATAGAAAATCCCACAAATGTGCCATTAGTAATTTCTTGAGCTTCAATTCTTTCTATTTCTTCAACAATATCTTCTGGCCCTTGGCAAACTCTCCAGTAGCTCTATCCTTGCCAAATATCTTTTCCCAATCAGCAAATAATGACCATTTTTTTTAAGTTCATTGACTTGACATATGGATCAACCTAAGAAAATAAAGAACAAGTACATGAAGTAACTGACAATATTTCAAAGACAAAGATCCATTAACCAAGAGAAAATATAAGTAAGTAGCAATTCCCTAATGATTTAAAATAAATATAAATCACCTTTATCAAGTCATCCTAAGCTTTTGGATCATCAACTAAGATACTTCCATCACTATATTGGAATCCTAAACCACTTCAACTCTTTAGCAACGATATGGTTGCATAACTCTTTTTCCATGCTCTTATTTTAGAATCAACATGTGGTAGAGATTTCAATCCACAGTTAGGATGACGAGCATTCATGTAGTATTCCAATTCCATTAAATATTCATGTCTAAATGTTCCATTATATCCTCTCCAACCATTAACATACAATTTTTTTAATCTATCTACAAGAGTAAGTTCCTCTTCTAGAGTCTATACCCTTCGAGATGAAGGTGTTGATTTATAGATAACAATGTGAGACATACAACAGATTGACCATTCGTTTTCACAAAATAATAAAAAATATTACTCCCTCCGTCCCATTTTATGTGGCAACATTTGACCGGGCACGGAGTTTAAGAAATAAATGAAGACTTTGAAATGTTTACCAAATTGCCCTTTAAAAAGTAGACTCATTTTTTTCTCTCCTCATAAATGTATTAGAGTATTATTTTAATATTAAGTGGGACCAACACGAGTAAAAAAAGAATTGTACCTTTAAATACTTATCATATAAGAAAATGTGACATTCTTTTTGGGACTGACCAAAAAAGAAATGGTGCCACTTAAAATGGGACGGAGGAAGTACATTTTTACAGTGAACGGAAAATAAAAAACAAAAGTGCATAAGCATACCAAAAGTGACCACATAGTTTAAAATTATAAAGATTGATTTCCCAATCTTTCATTCCATATAGACTGAGCTAGTTCATCCCTCCAAGTGGTCCACTCATCAGATGTTTCAATTGTATTAATATTGTCATGTTCATGTTGATTCTCCATGTGGAATTCCATTTCCACATCTAAGGGGTCAACTTCCATCTCCATTCGAATGAAATTGTGTATCAAACAACATGCACTAATAATTCTATTGTGAACCTTAACGAAGTACCAACATCCTTTTAATAGTCCAAATGCTCTTTCAATAACATTACGCGCCCTAGCATCCTTCATATTAAAGAGCTCTTCTCGACATCGAGGTGATGGAAATCCTTTAGCCAATATCTATATCCTCGGTAGGGAGACAGAAAATCATTTCCATTTGTATATCATCCATCGCACAAATAGTAATTGCCTAAAAATGTAAACAGTAATATAATTACTTTAAATATTATTCTATTTTGATGACGTAGAAATAGACAAGGGTCTGCCTATTATTTAGCATACCCTGAGATACTTTAAACCCATTTCTTCTTACAACAACATCTCACAATACACAACCATCAGTGGCTGATCCCTCCCAACCAGGTAATACATAAATGAAGTTGAGATTTCTATCACAAACCCCCAAGACATTAGTTTCTATATCTCTTTTTCGTGTTCTGTATCTTGGCTTATATATTGCTTCAACTCTAATGGAAATGTAAGTACCATCCAATGCGCCAAGACAATCCTAGAAGATAAATTCAACTCTAAATACTAAAGGACTATTAAAAATAAAAATACTTTCACCATAATATTTCAAGTTTGTTGTAGTAGATCAAATGTTAGATTGAAGTTTACCTACCTTAAATCATTTCCATCGATCATCAGTATCATCTTAGAGCACCGTATTAAGTTTAACAAGTAACACTGGAGTTAGTTTAAGAATAGCTCTTAGATATTCATTAAAGGCTCGACTTACACTCCACTACGATCTAATATAATCAACTTTGACAGACCTCTTCTTTTCGTGATGAGTCAAAATATTTAAGAACATTGCTAACTTTTCAGTACTCGACATATTTTTACTGTTAGTCAACCCTCCAATAGTCTTGGCTAAGGAGGCTAAAATGTGAAAGACATTTTTATCCATCCTAAGCTTGTCAATACATACAATATCATTGTCACGAATGAGAACATTTAGATGAGACAAGATTTTAGGATTTCTAGCACTTACACAATATCGAATGACCCGCCTATTTCTAGATTGTTTTATTAATAACATGTTGTAAATAGCCATAAAAAAGTAAATAAGGACAATATACAAATGCACCACAATCTCCTCGAGGATCATAAAGCATTCAACATCGCACAATTGTTGAGAATCCATTTACACCTATTTTCCAATTAAAAGTTGCAACATCATTATCAAATTGAATCCAAAAGAAAAAAAAGTATCAATCATGTTACTTAACTAATAATTGCAGACACATTGTGTATAATAGGAAGGTAATAGATGGTTTCATACTAGAATGTTCAATTTTATTTAAAATAAATAAATGAAAAGTAACATTGAAAAATAGGGTAAAATGTTTATTTTTGTTTGGCTTCAATAACTAGAATACTAATACTATTTTGTCAAACTGCAAATACATGTTCATCTTTTGCAGTTTTAGAAGCTAAAGCAACTAAACTTAATGAATCCATTTTTCAGAAAGCACGATTTTTAAACAAACAAAACAAAATTCACATCAAATTTGGGTGTACTCAAACATCAACTTAAATAGAAAATACTGAGAAGATCTAAAATTTTATTGGTCTCTCATCAGAGTAACAAGAGGAAAAACACAAAAGGAGAAAATAGGAGGAGAAGAAGAAGAAAATAAAAAAAGATCAGCCAAATTTTGAGTTCAGAACTTCTAACCTCAAAGAAAGAATGCCAGATTGAAAGTTTTTCAATCTATTTGCCTGGCAGGTGAAAAGTCATTCTAGATCTACAAATATGGAGAGAGGATATGAATGTTTATCTAAAAAGAAGTGGTGTATATTTGATTGAGAGTGAAGGGTAAAAATTGTCAATTTATATTTTTATTCAAGTATTAGTTATTCAGGTATAACTTATTCCATCCTTTACCCTGCATAAAATAATACATAGATTGACTCATAACTTAACCATGTATTAGTTATGTGATTTTCTAATTTTCTAACCAAACATAGTATTATGTGTGATAAGTTTTATACTTTGACAAGAAAATGCTACCAAACATATAACTTATTCCATCCTTTACCCTGCATAAAATAATACATAGATTGACTCATAACTTAACCATGTATTAGTTATGTGATTTTCTAATTTTCTAACCAAACATAGTATTATGTGTGTTAAGTTTTATACTTCGACAAAAAAATGCTACCAAACATGGTAAAGCTTATGCAACATTTTATACTTTGAATTGCTTTAGTTTTAAACTATTCATAATCAAAGTTAATTATAATTTTTGAACAATAAAACATTTCCAATTTAAAAAGTATAAATATTATTTGGAAAAATTAAATAAATACACAATTTAAGATTTCATAATCTCTAAAATTTTCTGACATTTAAAAAATTTACAAAAATCTTTTCTTGGATATGTCCCTATCCCTGTAACATATCATTTGCAATGTATCAGACAATCAAGAAATGAATTCGAAAACAATGAAAAATTCATTTTTTTTGTAATTGAATTTATGAAATTTCGGTACTTAATAATTCTTATAAAAATCACCCGGCTTACTCTGTAGCTGGCCCATAACAACACCCGACCCGGCTTTCATCAATTATTCAAAAATCAAAACAATAAATATTCGCAGAGAAGAAAGGATTTTGAGTTTTGGTAGCAATGGGGAGCAAGAAGAGGAAGAGAGGAGAGAGAGCCACTACCCATCCTCGTAACAAGTACTCTGATAACCCGCCAGATTTCTCCTTATTGGCCTCTAAATACTCTACCTTTGCACCTTACGTTTTCTATTCTGGAGATGGTCGACCAAGAATTGATTGGACCGATTTCAATGCCACACGTGAACTCACCAGAGTCTTGCTCCACCATGATCATGGCCTCAATTGGTAAACCCCAATTTTATCTTTTTCTTTTTCCAGGTTATTGTTATGTAAAAATGGTATCCGAGTTTTATGTTTTCTTGAACACAGAGCATCTAAACCTTACGCTACTTTTCTGTTTCTTTTTAAAGATTTTTAAAGATTCTTGATCATCAACTAACTGTGTTACTTCTAAGTTTACTATTCAGTGGATTGGCAATCAATTAGCTTTCTTTTCTTTCCTTTATTATTCCTGTTACATACCCATTTCCCCTTTCTGGAAAAAAGGTGTTTGCTTCACTATATAGTATCCTAGGTACCATCTTGTATGAGAGGTTTGATTTTACATGCACAATTTGATTGGTTTCGGAGTTTTAAGATGTTAATTTAACATGTTAGGTTTTTTCCGCTGAAAGAAAATATTAAATCTTGAATACAGGTTTAATAGATGAAGCATCATATCAACATTGAAATTTGAATAGCGAAGTTAAGTTATACTTTATTATTCAAGTTTGTGTAAGTGGTGCTAAATAGTACTCCATTAGTAATGGTATTTAAATTTGAATTGTGAAGTTAAACTTATATTCTTCAAGTTTGTGAAAGGGGTATTTAACAGTACTACTAATTGTTTAGTCTCAAACATTTTGGGTTGATGCTGTCATACATGAGGAATAAAGGAATACTAATAAATTTCAAGATTTTGGTCACTCTGTTGCTGCTAAGTTTATTGTTTAAAGTATTAGCAATCTGAGCATTTCTAAGTTAAGGTAGTTTTTTCCTCTATAGTTCTAAGTTGTTTTTTTTTCACTTTACCTTCATAATAGTTTTTCCCTTTACAGTTCTAAGCTGTTTCTTCTTTTAACTTCACCTTCCATGTCACTTTCATTCTATGGTGGCCTGGGGAATTGAAGTAAAGTTATTTGCTTTAGAGTGTTGTCCACCTACTTGCCGGTGAACCAAGTCCCATATTGTTAAGTGGAGAAGGGCAATGGAATGGACCTGTTATCTCTGATTTTGAAGCCGTAAAAAGCAGATTTCTTAGTTACCCCCCAAAAATGGAAAAGAAAAAGAAGAACTGCTGTCCACCTGCCAATGATGGAACCAGAACCCTTGGCATTTTATATGTAATTTTTTAATCTTTTGATTGCTAAAAGTCCATAGGAGATGTTAAACCATAAATGAAAAATGAAATAAATGTTTATCAGATAAATATTTTTATGAATGAGTTTTAAGCTAGAGGAACCTGAATATATTACTTAATTACTAGTGGCTCTATGCTTCCAAGCTGCATTGGAGCTGTGATACAATCTAAGCTTGGGATAGAACCTACCTACAGTTTGGTGTATAAACAGTTAACATAATGTTCCCAAAAAAAGGTAAAAAGGAAAAAGGAGAAATCCTTTCTTGTCTATGTTAAGTGACAAGCAGACTATAGATGCAGGCATGCAGCTTAGATGCAAGTGTATGTTTGTCTGTAGAGATCCCTTACATTCTAAATGATGTCATTCTCCCATCTGCATATGCCTGAACATGTTCTTCATGTAGGTGGATTCCCGATGGACAGCTCTGCCCCACAGTCCCCAACAGATCAAACTATATTCATTGGATCGAAGATCTTTTGTCATCGGACATCATTCCTAAAGTTCAAGCTGACAGAGACACTGCTAAAGGTTTTGATATAGGAACTGGGACCAATTGCATTTACCCTCTTCTTGGTGCATCTCTTCTGGGTTGGAAGTTTGTTGGCTCTGGTAGCCCCCTCTAATTTGTAATTTTCTCCCTTAACTTGCATCGTTGCTGGTGTTCTGCTAATAGGACTGTGCTACATATTTACAAAACATTGATTCCTTCCGATTTTGCTTTATACAGATTTTAGTGATGTAGCTTTGGAGTGGGCAGAGAAAAATGTCAAAAGCAATCCTCATATTTCTGAATTAATTGAGATCAGAAGAGTTAACCTGGAAAACCCAGCATCTTCCAGTGAGGAGTTGAATGATGAACCAGGAAAATATGGCCAATGTACAGACGCAGAGTTTGACAATGGAAAGGCTGTTGTCATTGGGCCTTCACCTCCTGCTCATCTCCAAATGCACTCAGGTATAGGAAAAGGATATGGTGGACCACCTATACTTGTTGGTGTAGTCAAGGATGGGGAGAAATTTGACTTTTGTATGTGCAACCCTCCATTTTTTGAGACGATAGAGGAAGCTGGATTAAATCCAAAGACTTCTTGTGGCGGGACTGAGCAGGAGATGGTTTGTCCCGGGGGAGAGAGTGCTTTTATCACTCGCATTATTGAGGATAGTGTTCAACTAAGGCAATCATTTCGGATGGAATCATTCTTAGAATCTGGTTTATTGCATTATGTGTTACAGAAGTTTATCACGAAGGCTCAATTGTGAAGAGTCCTTATATTTCCTGAACCCATGTTTACCAGGTGGTACACCTCAATGGTTGGAAGAAAAACTAACCTAAAGGTACTGATATCAAAGCTTTGGGAGGTTGGAGCAACAATAGTAAAGACAACTGAATTTGTGCAAGGCCAAACATGCCGATGGGGCCTTGCCTGGTCATTTCTCCCTGCTTCCAAGAAGATTGTACCATCTCATGTGGCTGAAAAGAATAACATGTCATTCATGCTTGAGGTCTGATATTTACTAGCCTTTTATTTGGTCATCTGGGCAATCACGGGGAAATTGATTATTCTGATAAAACAGAGCTCAATTATCATAAGTTTGTCAGTGAAAATTAGAAGTGGACTTTATGTTCCAGGACCCGAGTAATTTCCTTTCACCTGATACTGTCCCTCCTTTCATGTGCAAGTTTCGTGTCTTTTGTTAGAGATGTTGCTGAGTTCGATGCAACCTGCTTGAAGTCTTTAAGGGTCTATCTGGCCATGTGGCCCATGACTTCACTTGCAAGTATAATTATTTGCAAATTGAAGTTTTGGATTTTTTAAATTGAAATATTTTTTCATGTTGAAACAGTTGGTTTAAGGTGTATTTCAAGTGAAGTTTTTCAAAGCTTCAACTATTTCTGAATTTTTTTTGCAAGTGATGTTCATGCCTAAATGCCCAAACACAATTCAACTCCAACAAACGGCTTTCCAACTTCAAGTGATCTTTTTTAATTTGCCAACTTCAACTCAAATTTTGTGCACAGGCATACTAAGTTATGGGGGTTGAGTTGGTATTTTGAAGGTTTTGACTATTGTAGATGTGGAACTAGTTCTTCTTTAGTAAAACCTTCAAAATACTAATTCAACTTCAAGTGATCTTTTTTATTTGCCAACTTCAAATTAAAACAAGCTATGTGCTCTGCTCTCCCCCTTCCCCCACTTGAACGCAGAAAAAAAGTCTTCCGTCACTTGTGTTGGCATTGTTATCCTTCTACATTATAAATTGATTGTTGACACATTATACATTCACCAAGGTTTTGAACTTCTACCATACATATGAGGTCATGTGTTCCTTTGGCAGACTAACTAGTTTTGGCACGAACTGGTTGGACTAGTTCTGTTAATTACTCCATTGCTGGTGGGTCCAAGATGTCTTATTGATCTCCATGTTTGTTTAGGGTCTGCAGCGCCATCAGAGTGCCTTCGATGTATTGCAATCAGTGGAATCCTACTTCCGCAATATGGGTGCATCTTCTAAATTAGACTCTGCCTCATTTAAAGTTGATGTACGCTCCATTTGTTCTTCTCTCTGATTATTACTGCACCAATTACATGTTTTTCCTGAATCTAAATGCTTTCTTCTAGGTAACTTTGTCAACTGAGCAATGTAATTCTATCCTGAAGACCCAAACACAGAATGGGACCGACCAGAATATATTGATATCTGCAAATTGTCCCTCTGACAAACTGAATGGCATGCGTCTCTGTGTTTCTGTAATTTTCTTATTATAGTGATTTGCCTTTCGAACTAATGCCTCGTTATTCATAGGGTGGCTTGTTATCTCCTTATTATTTAGCATGATGCGGTCTAATGCCTGGTTGTATCTATAGGTCTTCCAGCAGATACCAGGGACACTTCTGGTGAAAGGATTATTGCTCCAGAAAGAGATCCCTGTACCAGGTTTGTCCAAAACCATTTGCTCGGATCCAATCAGTGCAGTGATATTTCATTTTCCTCTTTTCCCCTCTTCCTGTACTATTTGGTCAGATTTGGTTGCGTCTCAGTCCCCTTCGACAGATTCTTTGATAAGGTAATTAGGTAAATAATTTAATTGGTTTAAGAAAACTCCTGTATATAAGCAGTATGTAAAAAAATAGAGAGCCTACACAAAAACGTGTTCCTATAGATAACCAATTTTGTATACAAATGGGAATATCATGGGTACATCAAAAGCTAACTAAAAATAAGGTGTTGTTCCTTGCATATACAAAGTCATTATCTATCTCCTTAGAAACTCTCCTATTTCTCTACTTCTACTGGACCCACATGATAGGCTAAAGCCGCCTAAAGGGACAATAATGTCCTACGTCTTCTCTTCTTCAAAAAGACCCAGCTATGTTGGGCATCACTCTAAACACACCTCGTCGGCTACACTCCAGACCAGTTCGATCCCCTAGATCAAGCTGATATCATCAGTCAATAAAAGGAAAGCTTCTTTCAAAGACAACTTCATGAGATCTGCCTTCAATTACTAATTTCTCATCTTACACCTAGGAGGTGCTCAGTCGTGTACTAGTGTTAGTTTTTTTTTTTTCCGTTAAATATTAGTGTTAGCTATAACTTGGATCTCTAGTCCCTTTTGGCCTACTAATTCTTCTATCGATGTGATTACCTTGGCAACCAGAATATTTTTCTGCAGTATTCTGAAACAGCTAACTTTTTACTATCTCTCTTCAAACATTTAGTTCTCTTATACATTTTTGGGTTTGTTGGTGAATGTTCATGGAAAATAGTTGTCAAGACTTGTCCCAGTCTCTAGACATTTTTAACTAATATCTATTTACTTAGTAGGTTCTATGTCAAAACAGTCTGCCTGGTTTTAAGATACTTGCATCAACATATTCTCTGCAGGGGTATTTTCTGTTATATTCCAGCAATTACAAGAAGTCCTGAAGAGCAAATTCAGTAAAGGCATCAGATGATGGCTCCTTCTCTAGGTGCAGAAGATATCCTGCGTATGATCTGCCAAACTACTAGTGGGATGATAGCAGTGTGACTTATGTGTATTCTTTGCCTTTTTAATAATAAGTTAAAACTTATGTAAGGCTAAACAGTTAGGTTGTGTAGGAAATGTTGTATATCTTTCTTTGCTCTCCCGTTTTATGATAGAATTTCTTGTTGTTGATTTGGGTCAAGCAACTTCACTGATAGTACTACTATTGTGTAGAAAATCTAGAGCTTGAATGCAACAAAATACTATCCAGCTGGGTCCTGAATAGCTATTACTGAGTACCTGCCGGCTTTAAATCCCTGGTTCTCAATCACTAGAGACTAACATTGTTGCTGCTTCCAGGTAGGCATCTTACCGGGGAAAGTCCACCTCATCAATCTTTCCTAGGCATCATAACACACCAAAAACGTAATCAGTGGCCAAACTAGCAGTTTATCTGTTAACGCCCTTGGTCTAACCAGTCATTTAAAACTCGAAACAAATTACAGGTGATAATTGTGAAGCCCATGGCAGCCGAAAGCATATAAGAGGCTCATTTTCTGATATGCTTCAGTTGAAAGGGTGGCCCTTGTACTTCACAGCAAAGGTTGCTACCTGTATCATCACTCCCATCATGTATAATTGTATCGACAAAAAATGGGTAAAAATCAGAGTCTGGCTCAATTCAGCAGGAGGAGGAGGATGCACGACCAGAAAATATTCGGATGTGCTCCCTAAGCTGACAGGGTTGGAAAGGGATGAGCTGTGAGATAAACAAAAAGAAGAAATCAAACACGAAGTATTCTGGAGGGGACAAGTCAAGAAGGACTGGTTTGATGGTTGTTACGTTTTTTATTGTTTCATAATATATCGTATTGTGTTGTATTGTATAGTACTATATTTTTTTAATGAATATATACAATGTTTTGATAGATTGTATCGTTCTGTGTAGTTACATTTCGGCCACATTTTCATAATTTGAAAATGATAAACCTACAAGAAAAGTAGGGTACGAGGTAGAGCTACTATGAAAAGTTAGAGTAAAAGATGAAATATAATTATTAAGTAATATAAATGAAGACAGAATGAGAAGAAAATATCAAGCTAACGACGCGATTACACCAAATCGATTGTTACATGAATTTTTTCGCCGTTACCTAACGATGGATTTAAACGATACAATAAAATGTAACAATCAATACAAACATTATATTTAAAATTAAAATCTTTTTGTGAGTATTTTTTTATTAAACTTGTTATAATGACAAAATTGTCTAAAATTTTATGATTGTTATTAATGATATATTATTGTTATGTATACTAACATTTGTGTTTCAATTTTATTTATCCATTATAAATAAGATTACAAAAAAATAATCTACTATTTTTGTGTATTGCGTTAAAAAAAAAAAGAAGGAATGTTTGTTCATCAATTTAATCCAATTTCATTTTTCTTTTCAAAGAAAATTGTTTATACTCCTGTTTGGACTTTTCTCTTTTCTTCTATTTGGACTCAAACTTGTATTAGGAGAAGTGTTGGGGCATGTAGAATTTTTGTATTTTTCAATACTCCCTTTCTTTCCTTTTCGCCGTACCGTTAATCTACAGAGAAAAAGAACGATGAATTTTTCCGACGAGTGGAAGGGCTCTTTGGACAGGATGTTCATCCTTTTCTCCACCACGTCTCCTCTCAAATTCACACGAAGAATCCTCTTCGAAACGCCGCCGTATTGATAGTCCAATAGGACCTTTGATTTTCAGACCATGTGAAGAAACGCTGACGCCACTCCTTCGCTCGCCATTGTTATCTACTCGGCTTCCTCCTCCGGTTCCTGACCTCTCTCTACCAAGATTCCTTCAAACTTCAAGTGGTATGCTTTTTTCTACAGCTTCTTCAATTGCTACAGAGTTTACTCCACAGGTTTCTGACTCAATTCACAACTTTAATTCAATCCAGTTTCTTCCACTTCCTAATGTTGGTAAAAATAGCAAACCCAATTCAATTATAGGAATTTCTCTAACGGGAGAGAATTATGACCAAGTTGGGTTATTTATGCTCTGTTCTGAAGATACCCAATTTGTGGCTAAGAAATTCAAGAATGGTACATCTTTTTTAGTGCATAATCACAAGCTAAATTTTAGAATTTTGAGGTTATTAGTGAACCCAGTTAGTGAAATTGATGATTCTTGTTCTTCTAGTTATATTACTTTTGGGTATTTATTGGTTTGTACTTTGTATTCTGTTCATTGGTATAGCGTAAACATAGGGGTTAAAGGAGACGAAAATGTTATGTTAGATTATGTGGGTAGTGCTGATAGAAACTTGTTCAAAGGTGGGACTGTTTGCCATGCTTGTTGGAGTCCACATTTGAGAGAAGAGTGTGTGGTGATGTTGAAAAATGGGGATTTATTTTTGTTTGATATGAGTTCTTGCGGAAAGAGTCACACTTTCTGTGCTTCTGATGTATTGCAAGGCAAGAAATTGCAAGTTTTGTGGGGTAAGTTGGATAGAGATGAACAGTGGGTAAGCTGTGAATTTAGCTGGCATCCGAGGATGTTGATTGTTGCAAATTCAAGGGCTGTATAATCCATGGTCTGAATAATCCAGCTTACGTGACTGTTTTGAGATTGTCTGACCTGAGGCGACGTAGTAGAGATGATAAATGGGCTTGGGCTACTGAATCAGGGAGTTGCATTTTGGTAGGATCATTCTGGGATTGTGAATTTTCTCTATTCTGCTATGGGCCAGACAGCAATCACAGCCATAAATTTTCAGAAATTTCGAGGCTCAGTAAATCTGTATGTGCTTGGGGGCGACCTTTAGACCTCTCACTGTCTGGTCGTGATTGCTGTCGTGAAAGTTGTCTTATGAGAGAATATTTCTCTGAAGATATTCTTCCTGATTGGATTGATTGGAGGCAAAAGAAAGTCATTGTTTTGGGGTTTGGTATTCTCAACAATGGCCTTTCTATCCAATCAGATGATACTGATAGCTCTGCTAGCTTTTTCCTTGTAAGGTTAATGTCCTGTGGCAGTTTAGAAGCTCAGAGATACACTGCAGCATGGGACTCTGAGGAAAAAGTCAGAAGCACCTTATGGAGGAAATTCTGTGTGTTCTGAAAATAACCTTCTATATGATATGGGTGTTGAAGAATTGGAATTGAAAAAGAGCCACATCTACCTGGGCCTTGACTTTCTTAAAGAGTATCTGAATGGAAAACTACCTAAATTCGTTAGTAGGAAATACATGGAGAATCTAAAAGATTCTGAAGAAAATCGTTCAGAGTTCCACCAGCAAATATGTCAGAAGCTTCAAGAATGTGGCGTCGCATGACTAAAATCATCTCTAATCGTTTCTGATGTAATCAAAGGTATCAGCTTGCCAGCAAGCATTTATGAGATTGCACTAGAAAGCATTAGCACCAGTTTGCCTAATAATCTTCTGGGGTTCACTTTCTCTGCCTTCTTGAGATTCCCTGAATTTCCCCTGAAACCGAAGAAACCTTCTCTAGAATTTTCTGACATTTTCGACAAACTATATCCACTGCCTTTTCCCTTGCATAAATGTTGTATTGATGAGACACCAGAAGAAGTTCAGTCTTGCTGTTCTTCTGCTCCCGTTCTTCCTCCTGCTTTTCTGGTAGCTCTTAATAACCTTCGAATTGCAGAAAGAGATATATTGCCACTTGATGCTGAGTTGAGGCTTCAGAGTGATAAAGTTATGAAGGTGACCCATGAAATCGGTTTGTCACACTCTGGTAATGAGCCTGATGATGGCTATTCAGTTTCCCTTGATGCAGATACTGAGTGCCCTAGCGATTGGTTGGAAAAAATGAGGCCTCTCTGTTTACATGAACGTGTGGCATTCTCTGACTGTTATATCTCAAAAATGGATTTGGGAGTAGAACCTGATAAAAGATTTACAACCTTCATCTATAAAAAACATGAAGAACCTATCTCAAATGCCAGCAAAGAGATGACAGGAGTGGAGTTGTTCGATGAGGGGTGTCCAGTAGAGCTCAAATTCAATGATAGTCTCGCAACGCTGGGGGTAAATGAGCTACAGATTTTTAGATTGTTGAAACAAAAGGATTTAGGTTTTCAGAAAAAATTTCAGTTGTATCAAGAGTATTTAACTGGATGCCATAAGTGAAGACAAGGTTCCGAGTTTTCCTATTTACTTCCTCTTAATTACTTTGCTATTTTATTTGAAAGAGGATTTCTTCAGTAAAGTACTGTTAGGGGTATCCAGTGTTCTCCAAGAAATACTACTTTCAAGGAGGGAACCATGTGTATGAAAGATTGAAATGGAAGAAGCTGAATTGTACTCAATCAAGAATTCAAGACAGAATGGGCCCACGTCAGTCAAAATTTCATTTCAAGTAAGAACTTTGCTAAATTCGTAATAATTTTTTCAGCCTTCATATAGATTGTATGATAGAGACAATTTAGCTGACGAAAATCCATAATTTGGCATTTTCTGTTGTTTCGTTTATATTTGTGCAGAGATAATGGAACTCTAGTGGGTGATTTGATGGGAAGACCAAACCAATTGCAAGACATTATCATCAACTGAACAATATATCCATATCTGGATTTGCTTTTGCATTCTGGTGAGTGGCTTGTGCTCCCCCTCCCCAGAACTTCTTTGTATCGTTTTAAATTTAATGTTTATATTTTTGTGGCATCAGGAAGGTGCTAGTTAACTCATATTAGTATCAAACTAGGCTCATACTCACGGTTTATACTATTTTCAAATCTGCTTACCTGTTTTGGTAGCAATGTGGAGCAAGAAGAGAAAGAGGAGAGAGAGCCACTACCCATCCTCGTAACAAGTACTCTAATAACCCGCCAGATTTCTCCTTATTGGCCTCTAAATACTCTTACCTTTTCACCTTACGTTTTCTATTCTGGAGATGGTCGACCAAGAATTGATTGGACCGATTTCAATGCCACACGTGAACTCACCAGAGTCTTGCTCCATGATCATGGCCTCAATTGGTAAACCCCCATTTTATCTTTTTCTTTTTCCAGGTTATTGTTATGTAAAAAGGGTATCCGAGTTTTATGTTTTCTTGAATACAGAGCATCTAAACCTTACGCTACTTTTCTGTTTCTTTTTAAAGATTTTTGATCCTCAACTAACTGTGTTACTTCTAAGTTTACTATTCAGTGGATTGGCAATCAATTAGCTTTCTTTTCTTTCCTTTATTATTCCTGTTACATACCCATTTCCCCTTTCTGGAAAAAAGGTGTTTACTTCACTGTATAGTATCCCTTGATTCAATCTTGTATGAGAAGTTCGATTTTATATGCTCAATTTGATTGGTTTCGTAGTTTTAAGATGTTACTTTAACTTCGTTATATTTTTACCGGTGAAAGAAAATATCAAATCTTGAATAATGGTTTAATAGATGAAGCATCATATCAACATTGAAAATTTGAATAGTGAAGTTAAGTTATACTCTATTATTCAAGTATGTGCAAGTGGTGCGAAATAGTACTCCATTAGTAATGGTATTTAAATTTGAATTGTGAAGTTAAACTTATATTCTTCAAGTTTGTGAAAGGGGTATTTAACAGTACTACTAATTGTTTAGTCTCAAACATTTTGGGTTGATGCTGTCATACATGAGGAATAAAGGAATACTAATAAATTTCAAGATTTTGGTCACTCTGTTGCTGCTAAGTTTATTGTTTAAAGTATTAGCAATCTGAGCATTTCTAAGTTAAGGTAGTTTTTTCCTCTACAGTTCTAAATTGTTTCTTTAACTTTACCTTCATAATAGTTTTTCCCTTTACAGTTCTAAGCTGTTTCTTCTTTTAACTTCACCTTGCATGTCACTTTCAGTCTATGGTGGCCTGGGGGAATTAAAGTAAAGTTATTTGCTTTAGAGTGTTGTCCACCTACTTGCCGATGAACCAAGTCCCATATTGTTAAGTGGAGAAGGGCAACGTAATGGACCTGTTATCTCTGATTTCGAAGCCGTAAAAAGCAGATTTCTTAGTTACCCCCAAAAAAAGAAAAGAAAAAGAAAAAGAAGAACTGCTGTCCACCTGCCAATGATGGAACCAGAACCTTTGGCTTTTCTGATGTCATTTTTTAATCTTTTGTTTGCTAAAAGTCCATAGGAGATGTTACACCATTAATGAAAAATGAAATAAATGTTTATCAAATAATTTTATTTTGAATGAGTTTTAAGCTAGAGGAACCTGAATATATTACTTAATTACTAGTGGCTCTGTGCTTCCAAGCTGCATTGGAGCTTTGATACAATCTAAGCTTGGGATAGAACCTACCTACAGTTTGGTGTATAAACAGTTAACATAATGTTCCCAAAAAAAAAAGGAAAAAAAGAAAAGGAGAAACCCTTTCTTGTCTATGTTAAGTGACAAGCAGACTATAGATGCAGGTATTCAGCTTTAGATGCAAGTGTATGTTTGTCTGTAGAGATCCATTACATTCTAAACGATGTCACTCTCCCATCCGCATATGCCTGAACATGTTCTTTATGTAGGTGGATTCTCGATGGACAGCTCTGCACCACAGTTCCCAACAGATCAAACTATATTCATTGGATTGAAGATTTTTTATCATCGGACATCATTCCTAATGTTCAAGCTGACAGAAACACTGCTAAAGGTTTTGATATAGGAACTGGGACCAATTGCATTTACCCTCTTCTTGGTGCATCTCTTCTGGGTTGGAAGTTTGTTGGCTCTGGTAGCCCCCTCTAATTTGTAATTTTCTCCCTTAACTTGCATCGTTGCTGGTGTTTCGCTAGTAGAACTGTGCTACATATTTTCAAAACATTGATTCCTTCAGTTTTTGCTTTATACAGATTTTACTGATGTAGCTTTGGAGTGGGCAGAGAAAAATGTCAAAAGCAATCCTCATATTTCTGAACTGATTGAGATCAGAAGAGTTAACATGGAAAACCCAGCATCTTCCAGTGAGGAGTTGAATGATGAAGCAGGAAAATATGGCCAATGTACAGACGCAGACTTCGACAATGGAAAGGCTGTTGTCATTGGGCCTTCACCTCCTGCTCATCTCCAAATGCACTCAGGTATAGGAAAAGGTTATGGTGGACAACCTATACTTGTTGGTGTAGTCAAGGATGGGGAGAAATTTGACTTTTGTATGTGCAATCCTCCATTTTTTGAGACGATAGAGGAAGCTGGATTAAATCCAAAGACTTCTTGTGGTGGGACTGTGCAGGAGATGGTTTGTCCCGGGGGAGAGAGTGCTTTTATCACTCGCATTATTGAGGATAGTGTTCAACTAAGGCAATCATTTCGGTATGGAATCATTCTTAGAATCTGGTTTATTGCATTATGTGTTACAGAAGTTTATCATGAAGGCTCAATTGTGAAGAGTCCTTATATTTCCTGACCTCATGTTTGCCAGGTGGTACACCTCAATGGTTGGAAGAAAAACTAACCTAAAGGTACTGATATCAAAGCTTTGGGAGGTTGGAGCAACAATAGTAAAGACAACTGAATTTGTGCAAGGCCAAACATGCCGATGGGGCCTTGCCTGGTCATTTCTCCCTGCTTCCAAGAAGATTGTACCATCTCATGTGGCTGAAAAGAATAACATGTCATTCATTCTTGAGGTCTGATATTTACTAGCCTTTTATTCGGTCATCTGGGCAATCATGGGGAAATTGATTATTCTGATAAAACAGAGCTCAAATATCATAAGTTTGTCAGTGAAAATTAGAAGTGGACTTTATGTTCCAGGACCCAAGTAATTTCCTTTCATTTGATACTGTCCCTTATTTCATGTGCAAGTTTTGTGTCTTTTGTTAGAGATGTTGCTGAGTATGATACAACCTGCTTGAAGTCTTTAAGGGTCTCTCTGGCCATGTGGCCCATGACTTCACTTGCAAGTATAATTTTTTTGCAAATTGAAGTTTTTTTTTTTTTTTTAGACAAACAACTTTAACTTATATAGAATGGCAATGGAGTCAAAATATAATCAACTAAAGCAAAAAACTGCCTTAAATTGTTGTAGCAACAAGGTCAATTTGTAGCACAAAACTAGTAAACACTTGAATGTCAAAATTTCACCAAAACATAAAAAGAAAGTTCCTCTAAACTCTCTGCTCAACTCTTAGATGCCAACTTTTCTTTGGCTTTTTGGATCTTCAAAACCTTCTTAACAATTTTTTGCTCTTCCACCAAGAAAGCTCGGACAATCCTCTCCCTCACTGCTCCTCCAGACAATACTCCACCATAGGCACGGTTCACAGTCCTCCTATTCCTAGACAGCCTGGACCTCTTGTACTCAGCTGGTCTCAGGTGAGGAATCCCCTGAATCCTCTTTCCAGTGACAGGGCACTTAGGACCATTAGCAAATTGAAGTTTTGGATTTCTTAAATTGAAATATTTTTCAGTTGAAACAGTTGGTTTAAGGTGTATTTCAAGTGAAGTTTTTCAAAGCTTCTATTATTTATGAACTCTTTTTGCAAGTGAAGTTCATGCCTAAATGCCCAAACACAACTCAACTCCAACAAACGGCTTTCCAACTTCAAGTGATCTTTTTTTATTTGCCAACTTCAACTCAAGTTTTGTGTACAGACATACTAAGTTATGGGGGTTGAGTTGGTATTTTGAAGGTTTTGACTATTGTAGATGTTGAACTGGTTCTTCTTTAGTAAAACCTTCAAAGTACTAACTCAATTTCAAGTGATCTTTTTTATTTGCCAACTTCAACTCAAAATAAGCTCTGTGATCTGGCCTCCCCTTCCCCTCACCTGAATGCAGAAAAAAAGTCGTCTGTCACTTGTGTTGGCATTGTTATCCTTCTGCATTATAAATTGATTGTTGACACATTATGCATTCACCAAGGTTTTGAAATTCTACCATACATATGAGGTCATGTGTTCCTTTGGCAGACTGACTAGTTTTGGCACGAAGTGGTTGGACTAGTTCTGTTAATTACTCCATTGCTGGTGGGTCCAAGATTTCTTATTGATCTCCAATGTTTGTTTAGGGTCTGCAGCGCCATCATAGTGCCTTCAATGTATTGCAATCAGTGGAATCCTACTTCTGCAATATTGGTGCATCCTCTAAATTAGACTCTGCCTCATTCAAAGTTGATGTACGCTCCATTTGTTCTTCTCTATGATTATTACTGCACCTATTACATGTTTTTCCTGAATCTAAATTTTCTTCTAGGTAACTTTGTCAGCTGAGCAATGTAATTCTATCCTGAAGACTCAAACACAGAATGGGACCGACCAGGATATATTGATATCTGCAAATTGTCCCTCTGACCAACTGAATGACATGCGTCTCTGTGTTTCTGTAATTTTCTTATTAAAGTGATTTGCCTTTCGAACTAATGCCTCGTTATTCATAGGGCGGCTTGTTAGTCTCCTTATTATTTAGAATGATGTGATCTAATGCCTGGTTGTATCTATAGGTCTTCCAGCAGATACCAGGGACTCTTCTGGTGAAAGGATTATTGCTACAGAAAGAGATCCCTGTACCAGGTTTGTCCAAAACCATTTTCTCAGATCCAATCAGTGTAGTAATATTTCATTTTCCTCTTTTCCCTGCTTCCTGAACTATTTGGTCAGATTTGGTTATCTCATTCCCCTTCGACAGATTCTTTGATAAGCTAATTAGGTAAATAATTTAATTGGTTTAAGAAAACTCCTGTATATAAGCAGTATGTAAGAAAATAGAGAGCCTACAGAAAAATGTGTTTCTATAGATAACCAATTTTTTTCTATATAAATGGGAATATCATGGATACACCAAAAGCTAACTAAAAATAAGGTGTTGTTCCTTGCATATACAAAGTCATTATCTATCTCCTTAAAAACTCTCCTATTTCTCCACTTCTACTGGACCCACATGATAGGCTAAAGCCGCCTAAAGGGACAATAATGTCCTATGTCTTCTCTTCTTCAAAAAGGCCCAGCTATGTAGGGCATCGTTCTCTAAACATACCTCGTCGGCTACACTCCAGACCAGTTCGATCCTCTATGATCAAGCTGATATCATCAGTCAATAAAAGGAAAGCTTCTTTCAAAGACAGCTCCATGAGATCTGCCTTCAATTACTAATTTCTCATCTTCCATCTAGGAGGTGCTCAGTTGTGTACTAATGTTAGTTTTTTTTTTTAATACTAGTGTTAGCTTTAACTTGGAGCTCTAGTCCCTTTTGGCCTACTAATTCTTCTATTTCGATGTGATTACCTTGGCAACCACAATATTTTATGTTGCTTTCTTCTCTCTAGAAGAGTATTTTACTGCAGTATTCTGAAACAGCTAACTTTTTACTCTCTTTCTTCGCAAACATTTAGTTCTCTTATACATTTTTGGGTTTGTTGGTGATTGTTCATGGAAAATAGTTGTCAAGACTTGTCCCAGTCTCTAGACATTTTTAACTAATTTTACTTATCTATTTACTTAGTAGGTTCTATGTCAAAACAGTCTGCCTGGTTTTAAGATACTTGCATCGACATATTCTCTTAGCCATCCTTTGATATTTCGTTCTTTTTTGCAGGGGTATTTTCTGTTATATTCCAGCAATTACAGGAAGTCCTGAAGAGCAAATTCAGTAAAGGCATCAGATGATAGTAGTTTGACTTATGTGTAACCTTTTGCCTTTTTAATAAAAAAGTTTTGACTTATGTAAGGCTAAACAGTAGGTTGTGTAGGAAATGTTGTATATCTTTCTTTGCTCTCCTGTTTTATGATAGAATTTCTTCTTGTTGATTTGGGTCAAAGCAACTTCACTGATATTACTACGATTGTGTAGAAAATCTTAAGCTTGAATGCTATCCAAATTCTCAATGAGCAATATCATCATCCTGGTTGAATGGCATATTTCTGCAACTAATAAATGTGTCTATGTATTTTGCATTACTCATTTGGGACAGGATTATAGAATAAAGTTTCTTGTTAGTGCTTGATCAATAAGATAAAAAGAGATTGTCTATCAACAACAACAAACAAAATGTAATCCCACAAGTGAGGTAAAGGACTTTTCTATCAAAGGAAAAACAAAGTGGTTATTGGTCTCTTACGATAAGGGAGACAACAAAAATCAAAATTCAGCAAAATTTTAGCCATGATCTTCCAATACAACAAAATACTGTCCAGCAGGGTCCTGAATAACTATTACTGAGTACCTGCCGGCTTTAAATCCCTGGTTCTCAATCACCAGGGACTAAGGGTGTGTTTGGTATGAACGAAAATATTTTTCGAAAAATATTTTCCAATTTTCTCATGTTTGGTTGAGTTAAATGTTTTGGAAAATATTTTCCAAATTAACTCATTTTCCTCAAATTTAAGGAAAATGATTTCCCTTCAAAACTTAAGAAAAATATTTTCCAAACCTCTCTTTCAACTTCAAATTACAATTATTTTTTTGTTAGAAAAATCAATTTATTTTGTTCCCACCCTCAGACCAGCTCCCCCAAAGAAAAAAATATAATTTAAAGCTCGTTTTTAAATTCAATTTTTTTACCCCACCTTCACCCCTACCCCCTCCCAAAAAAATATTAAAAGTTATTTTAAAAAAATATTTCTAATTTCAATTATTTTATTC